TGAAGCTAAAGCAGCTGGTACACTCAGCAGGTCAAAGAGCAAGAGAAAATAAGAATAAGGTGCTCCACAGTCAAGGAACTGTCTTCTGTATCCCCTGCCTCTCTCCCTTCTGGCTCTTCTGTGTGTGTGTGTGTGTGTGTGTGTGTGTGTGTGTGTGTGTGTGTACTGGGGATTGAACCCAAGATCTTCATACTCAACTACATCCTCAGCCATCTTGTATTTTGAGACAGGGTCTGGCTAAATTTCCCAGGCTGGATTTGAACTGGTGATCCTCCTAGCTCAGTCTCTGAGTGCTGGGACTATGGGTGTGCACCCCCACAAGTGTCTTCTCTTTCTATGTTTTCAATTACTGCTTCTTAGGATTTTGAGTGCAGCTCCTATTCCTCTGTAGCTTTAGCATCCTTCCCAGGCACTGGCAACCTACGAATCAAAACCCTAGCTTCTCTCTAGGTGGATGAGTAAGCCTGTGTCAGCTATTGATAAGGCTGCACATGTTCCACAGCAGCTCAAACACAAACTGTCCTGGACCAAATTGTCTTCATGCTAAATTTTCTCTTCTCTCTAATGGTCCAAATTCTTCTGGACGCTGCTAGTCAGGTTCCTCTCTTGTGTGCTCCTACCTTGGGCTTTACTTTATCATAATAATCAACATGCTCCTCTGCCAATGTTTAGCTGCCCGAGTTTCCCCTTAGGTTGATCTCCTTGAGGTCATGACCATGCTTAACTGCCAAGGGCTGGCCCAGTGCTCGGCACACAGAACTATCCTAGTCGCCCCGACTTGGTGCCATAAACGCCTTTCCGTCTGTTATGGCTTGTGTCTGGCTGCCCCTAAAGCCTCATCTGGTCATAGCCTGGCTTTTCCTACAGGCTGGATATCTAGGGAGTGTGATGCTAAGATCAAGAATTCGATACTAGAAATGATTCCTAGTGTGATGCTAGGACTAGGGCTGCCCCAGCCTGGGTGTCGATGCTGCCTGCCCACGGGTGGGGAGCCTGGGTCAGACATGAAGGACAGAGAGAGGGTTGCTGTCATCGCTTGCTGCTTGCTTCCTGCGACTTCACTGCTTTGCTGCCGCCTGTCTGCTGCCCACCAGGAACTGCTTCTTCTCTGCGATGTCCCTCTGCCATGCCACCCTGCCTTGATCCAGCCAGCTGTGAACGGAAGCCTCTATAGCTATGAGCTAAATAAACCTTTCCTCCCTTAACTTGTGGGTGTTGGATGCTTTGTTTCAACAAGAAAAGTAACTCGGACACAGTCCTTCCTCTCCCTTCCATCTTTGCTACTGATGCCACAGCTCAGCCTCACCCTTCCTCATCAGAACCCTTCAGACCACCTCCTTAGCATCGTGCATTTAGTTCCCTAACCCATTTCCGCCTCAGTCCTTCCTCCACTCCACAGCTCATGGGACCTCTGTGAAGAGTGAAGTCAGTGATCCTCGTAGGCTACGGCTGGAGGGGAGCACTCTGCGCCCTTCCCACCCATTTTCTTTTCTTTCCTTTCCTTTTTTTTTTAACCATAATTGTGTTTATTTTTTTCCATAATTTTATTGAGAAACAAATAGCAATGAGACAGCTTCAAATCAAATTAGTAGGACAGTTTCAATAATTAACACATGGCATACTGTCTTCCTAGTGGTTATTTGTTATACAAGATGCAGATATGATATCCTATTTACAAACACTATTAGAACAAGTCCTTCCATTCATTGAATTAAGAGAATGTAGCTATATATTTATCCTAATGATTTTGAATACATAGATACAAAATGGTCATTCATCTCTATCCCCTTTTTTAATTTACTTCCATCATTTAAATATTATAGGTGTGTGAACTCAGCAAAATATTCCAAAATAGTCCAGTAGTCCACAATAGTATTGAGTCTTCCGCTTGACTGGCAATGTCAGAAGTTGTTGACCTGAGTCCCCCACAGCTCAACATAAAAGCATGGCTTTGCTTCTTATATTTTGTTTTTATACTTTTCTGCTGGATGGTTAAGACCAAGATAAAGCAAGACCTATGTAACAAGAGTTGTAGCTTTTGGATCTGATAAGGTCAGTCAAATCCTCTCAGGATTTATCCTGAGACCCTGTACCTCAGATTGTAGATCCTTTGTCAGTGTTGCCCTGTGGATGAGTCACGGCCATTGCTCGGCCAATGTGCTCTCTGTGAAAGCCTGAGAGAATGCCTTCTCTCCATGTGACTTTCCTGAGGAACACTCTACATCATTGATCACACTTTCCTCTTTGGCCCCATAATCTTCTTGATCAGAAAATTTGGGACACAACTCAGTTACATGATGTTACAGTACAGGTTCTCATATGTCTGGAGTTTTAATTGATCTTGGAAGGCTAGAGCCAAAATGTTGGCTTTCCTTGTGGCCCTCCTTTTTCTCTAATTTTTGGTCTGCAAACTTAGGTTGTTAACCCTCCAGAAGACAAGCTTATTGTTATTACCATACAGCCTATGCTGTTAAGCTTAAGCTCACTATCTGTCAAAATATCAAACATTTTAGGCATAACATGGAACAGGTATTTTCATCAAGTATTGATATGTTAAAGTTTAAGTCCCTACAGAATGTGATTAAAAAATTAAAATACATTTAAAAAATAGGAATAAACAATTATATATGTTTACACATAAGTCCAGAAATCTAACCATATACAGCATTGTAGCAGGACAGTCCCACAACACTCCTTTTCCTGTCTCCTGCCTTCATTCACCACCCCCTTCCTTTTTAAACAAACATCTACCCGAGAGACAGCACGGCAGCAACCGGCATGTCATGACAAGCAGCCCTTATTCAGAAGACCAGAATGACAGGCACTCCAAGCATGAACCTACTATTACATATTGCCATCTTCAGTGCAGTTGCTTAGTTCACAAGTGTCAGCAGATAGTATAGTTAGTCAGGGTGAGAATCCTTCCAATTAACTGCTAGATTCGAAACTCTTCTGAAGATTCTCGGGTTCATTGCCTTACCCATCTTGTACATATATAACTATATGGCTTTGCCTCTGTCATGTTTCCTAGCTTTTCTCCTTGCTTTCTCTTCATTGTCTAGTCCTCAAGTTCTTGCTTTCCTTTTAATTGTGTTATATCTTTCTATTTGTATTTCTTCTTTTGAGTTCTTATACTAGGGAGAGTATATGATATTTACACATGTGTATCTGGTTTATTTCACTTATGAGTATATCTTCAAGCAGCATCTAAATATGAAGGCTTCGAGTTTATCATTCTTTATAGGTGAGTAATACTCCATTGTATAAAAATACCACATCTTTTTCATCCTCCACCCGTTTTCTTCACAGCTGTCAATGCTCCTACTGAAACAGCCCCTGTTGTCCTGGAAGACTGTGCTCAAGTTTATTTGCAAAGCAGCTGCTGATGAGAATTCAGGAGAAGGAACACACCCTGCCTGAGAAGGGCTGGACGAGGGTCTCTCGGGGACCCAGTTCACCTGATGAGGCAGCTGAGTCACTGCGGGGCAGCACCTCGAGAGGGCTCTGGGCAGGCAATAAGGGGTTGGTGAGGGGCAACCCTGTCCTGTTCTGTGAGGCTCAGCGTCCCCTCTCCCTGTCTCCTCTAAGCAGCAAGGCAAGAGAGTGAGAAGAGAAGGGTGGATGGGCTGCTGATCACTGTTCTTGCCCCCTGGAGCCCAGTTCGTGCCCAGGAGTGGTGCTGGCCAGGGGCCTGCCCTTGGTTCTCTCTGTCCCCCTTCCCAGGGTCTGTGGGGGCAGAGACGGGGCTGGCTAGTGACGTGAGCAGAGCAGGCTGGGGCTTCCCGAGGCATGGCCACCTCCTGCTCCACAGCCTGCCCGGCTTCCCTGAGAACGCAAAGGCTGGGCTCCTTCTCTGTGCGCCCCATCATGACCCTGCTCGCTGGCCCTCAGAGCAGCATGGACCTGTGTGAGCCCTGCATTGCCTGTCCCGCTAGCTCCCCGGCTCCGCGCCCAGCCTGGCGCCTGCTAGAAGCTGCACATCAACAGTGCCAGTCACGAAGGGCCTGGGCTTTTATGAGGGTACAAGTCACAACTGGCTTATCAAGCCACAGACACATGCGGGGAACTCATGCCAGTTGAGTGACCTGTGGGCTTTGCTTTGGTTCTGGCCAAATTATCAGCCAGAGGGCCATCCCAGTGGACACAGGTGCTCATGGACATGGGTCCTAATGGACAGGGGACACCGTAGACACAGGTCATGGTGGACACAGGTACTTGTGGACATAGGATCTCATGGACACTGATACTTGTGGACACAGGTCCGTGTAGCCTCTCACTACTCTTACAGCCTGCCTTTTCCCTCTCCTGATGTTTAAGGGAGAGAATCTACCCCAACCTTATGACCTACTGGCCATGAATAATGGTTCAGATAAAGGGGTTATGGAGGATAAGGGAAGACCCCACTCTCTCCTTAGCTCTTGGACCCTGTGCTCCAGGCCTGAGGTGAATGGAAGCCCTTCCTTCTCCACCATCTGGAATAATTCCTGCTCAGCTGAGAGCTTGGCTCCTGCCCTTACTGCAACCTGCTCCCTGATATATTTTATGTAAAAAAAATCCAAACATGAACCCTTAGGATTGAAAGGAGACGAAGACTGTACCTAGGACCCGACGTGTTTCCTTAGAAAAGAATTGAGCTGGTGGAGAATCTGTGTTTGCTGAAGGGTGTAATGGGCTGTGGCAATCCCTGGCTGCTCCGTGGAATAGTAAGCAACAGGCCAGCACTGGACCATGAGTTGTGTGACATCAACTCCAAGGCCTCCCCAGGGGCTGGTGGATTCTGGCGTAACTACTGATACCTGGAGAGTGACCTGAATGAGTTTCTGTTGCCAACCACCCTCTCTCAGCAACCAGCACCTGCAGCCTCAGTGTTCTAAATTTGCCTGTTTTCAAATACACAGTTCACTGAGGAGACAGCAGGTTCCTTGGAAACCAAAATAACCCAGCAGCCAGCAGGTTGGAAACAAAGAGCTCTGTGTACTCAGGGACAGGGGCAGCTGTCACACCCTGGGGAGAGCACGGCACTCATTGGATGGAAGGGGTGTCTGCTCTCCCACTCAGGAAATGGACCAGTCATAAACCAGCCCCCTCCCACCTCACTGCACTGACTTTACAACCCAACAGCAACAATGACAAACCAGTCTCTGGGAGGTGGCAGAAACGACTTGGAAAGAACTAAAACTTCTTTCCTTATTTTTTGAAGATTTTGATATAATCCTATATAGGCATCTCAAATTCAAGGAAGGCACTGAATCATGTAGGCATATTAGGAGATGACCAACAAAACCAGATGCTAGCTGTTTTTTTCTTAGAACTCAGTGATTAGAACTTCAGACCCTGGTTGGCCGCTCAGCTCACCGCTGTCGGGGTGTTTCTTACCGTGATGATCGTAGATACAATCGCAAACCCCAGCACGGACTTCATGTTTTCCCTTTCTGTGTCCAGTTCTATGCTGAGGTCAATGGTATAGTCGTAATACAGCCACCATAAGACACCACAGACAACTGCAAGACAGAACGCCAGCAGGGCTTATACGTGTTGAGGTGGCCACCCTGCCCCCATCTGGCACGCAAACCTCACACACAAGGCTGTCTGGGCTGGCAGGCCCGGCTGCCCTGCTTAGCTCGGAGGCCCCAAGTTCACAGGCCCTTTGCAGCCAGCAGCTTCCTCTGGAAGAGGACTCTGCAAAGGACCTGGCAGTCCCGGGGTGGCGGCTGGTCTTTGGGTTAGCAGGAAGGTGGCCAGGAAGGAGATCCGAGGACACAGGTGTCCCCCCCTCCGCCCCCCGCCCCAGGTTGGGTGTGGGTGGGAACAGGAAGGGAACTGCGCCCAACAGGATGATGAGTAAAACAGCATCAGAGTCCAAAGTCTAAAACGTTCAAACAATGTCTGCAGGTGGCCGATTACCTGGAAAGCCAGGCAGGTGGGTTTACATGGCCTGTAAGAAGCACGTAAAGCAGAGGCTTATTCTGAGGATACTCTGACATGGCAAAAACTGCATTCAAGTAGAAAAAGCTTCTGTATGCCATTTCCGTATCTCTAAGTGGGCCGGCCAGATAGCTCAGCAGACTAAAGCGCCTGCTTAAGCAGAGGGCAGTGGCCAGGGTTTGATCCCTGGCATGCGGTGCTGGCCTTGCCCCCTGAAATGGGGAATTGAGACCGGGCATGTTTGTGTGCCTGTAATCCCAGCATTTAGGAGGCTGAAAACAGGAGAATCATTACGAGTCTGATCTATGTAGTGAGACCCTGTAGACTGTGTACCCTGTAGACCCTGTACTAAATACATAAAAGACCTCATACTATCTCTAAGGAGGTCACAGTCATCTACTAATCATAGACAGGGAAAAGCATCCTTCATGAGTCATAGCGCCTGCTCCCCACCACAGGGCTCCAGGGCTCTGCACTGCTGAGTGTTCGGTGGACTGAAACACTACAGCCATTTATGAGTCATCAAAAATTACAATATCCTACGGGAAATAGCTTCGAGCTTCAGGTATGCCCCTGGCCTTGAAAGCCTCTTTCCAACAACTCTTGGGGAGACCCACAATCCGGCAGTGGTTGGAGAAACAACAGGCCCTTACAGGGCTTCCAGGACTTTCTTCAGATTGGCCAGAGGCGTTGCATGTCAACCCCGGCAGCCACACACTCACAGGTGAGTGCAGGGTCAGAAGAAATCCATCAAAATGCTCTCAACAGGAACTAGAATTCTCTCTTAATGCTGTGGCACATGACTACTCAGGTGGCAGGCTGCATGGGACAGCAAATGCAGCGACAGATTTGGTGTTCGCTTAGCCATTGTCTGTGGACACAGCCATCCCCATTTTCCTCCCTGGGCTGGACTTTTGTCACATAAAATGATGGAGCAAGATAATCTTCAAGATTCTATATAGCAACAACCTAAGTTTGCAGACCAAAATTAGAGAAAAAGGAGGGATACAAGGAAAGCCAACATTTTGGCCCTAGCCTTCTAAGGTCAATTAAGACTCAGGACATATGAGAACTTGTACTGTAACGTCATGTACCTCAGTAGTGTCCCAAATTTTCTGATCAAGAAGATTATGGGGCCAAAGAGGAAAGTGATCGATGACATAGAGTGGGCCTAAGGAGAGTCACATGGGGAGAAGACACTCTCTCAGGCTTTCACAGAGAGCACATTGGCCAAGCAATGGCCGTGACTCATCCACATGGCTGCACTGACAAAGGTTCTACAATCTGAGGTACAGGATCTCAGGACAAATCCTGAGGGCATTTCACTGACCTTCTCAGACCAAAAAGCTACAACTCTTGTTGCATAGGTCTTGCTTTACCTTGGTCTTAACCATCCAGTAGAAAAGTATGAAGTCGAAATATAAGAAATAAAGCCATGCTGTTAAGTTGAGCTGTGGGGGACTCAGGTCAATAATTTCTGACATTGCCAGTTAAACAGAAGACCCAATGCTATTATGGGCTACTGGACTCTTTTAGAATATTTTGCTGAGTTTACACACCTGTAATATTCAATAACGGAACTTAGAAAAAATGGGGTATACCGATGAATGTCCATTTTGTATCTGTGTATTCAAAGAGGTTGGGATAGATATATAGTTGCATTCTCTTAATGAATAGAATGATTTGTTCTAATGGTGTTTGTAAATAGGATCACAAGTCCGCATCTTGTACAGCAATTAACCACTAAGAAGAATATATGCAGTGTATTATTTGTTGAAACTGTACTTCCGATTTGATTTGAAACTTTCTCATTGCTGTTTATCAATAAAACTTTGAAAAAAAAAAAAAAGATTCTATGTAGCCCAAAAATGCCAACGCCTGAGCTCTACACTTTAATAAAAAAAGGAATCAATCAGGGCTGGGGAGATAGCTTGGTGGTCTAAGTACCCAGCTGACAAGTACAAGGACCCAGGTTCAATTCCTGGTGCCACACGCTGTGCTGGCCCTGTAACTCTGGCTATGCCAGCCACCAAAACAACATGGTGACACATGCCTGTAATTCCAGCACTAGATGAGGCTGAGGCAAGAGGATCACTATGAGTCTGAGTTGTGTAGAGAGACCCTCAATCAAATAAATAAATAAACAAACAAATATAAAGAAAGCAATCCAGCCGAAATACTTACACAGCAATCCCAAAATAACCAACGAGATGATAATGTGAACCAGAAGCATGGTGAGGAACCGGAAGGTGAGCACCAGGGCCAAAGACAAGGCTGCAAGATAAAGCACAACTCATGAGCCCCAGACTGCGAGTGACGATGGGGAACCGGTGATGGCCAACGTGTCATCCCAGACAGTGAGGGCTGAAGGCTCTGTTCAACCTTCGCACACCTTGAGATGGCCACCACGCATCCAATAAAATAGCAAGACCCTCCTGCAAAACATTCCCTGCAGCATAATTAGTCAGCTACAGTGAGCCCCTCTGAAAGTTTCCTTGAATTAAAAAAATCAATTAAAAAGGAGGTAATTTATTACTAAATGCTCAAATATTTTTTCCTTAAAAGTTCAAATGAACTATTTAAACCTTTTACCACACTGTCTTTTGCCTTCATATTGAGCTTACATAAATTGTAACTTTAGATGTTCTTATATACTTTTATTAATTCTAAAATAATAATGCCTTTAACACAGAAACTGAAGTTTCCTAAAGCTGTCTATACAAAGTACTGCATTTTTATTTCCTAATATATGGGCTTACAGGCTTATACATGTTTCTCAATATTTCAGAAGTATATAAATATTATTTCATTTTTTCCACCAAAAGTAGAGATTGCATATAGATATTTCAATATAGTAATTAATAACATGGGTTTGGAAACATATATGTCTAGGTTTAAGTCTGCTCTACTGTGTTTTCTACTAGCTATGCAATCCTGGCCAACTCACTTAGGTTTCTGAGCCTCAGTTTCCCCTTCTACAGTCGGGCAGCAGCCTAATGAGGTTTTAATGAGTTAAGAAGAAACATGCTGCCTGGCACACGAGAACTGCTCAGTAAATGACAACTGTTAAAATATCATTATGACTCTAACATACACAATCCCCATAGGGACTCGGGGTACCATATGTGACAGTAGGCCTAATCTGGAGTTTTTGGGTATCTGTGTCTACCATCCTGGTATTTGGGAGTCAAACCATCCTACTTGGGACACAGTCATTCTCAGCCAAAATAAAAAATTTGGAAGTTACAAGATAGTGAATAGCTAAGTTTCTTCAACTACTTAAGAATTAGAAACTTCTAGTAATGACATTGCAAAATTCAATTTGTAATCTGGGTGAAATATGTGACTGGGTGGCCAGATTCATTCTTTCAAGCCAGAAGTTGGGGAGCTACCACTGGGAAGGAGCTAGACAGAGTTATTACTACTCTCTAAAGTAGCAGAATATACCCCTGCTTGTTTGTTTGTTTGTTTGTTTGTTTGTTTTCACTCCCCTGTTTAAGAAAAAGTGGACCATTCCTTACTCAGTAGTTGTGAAACCAAAGGGCAAAACTGGGTGGCTGCTTCCACAGATGCCTACATTCAAAGCCCTCACTTGCCTACAATCCAGAGCAAGTATGTTTTTTGGAGGAGTTGGATGCATTAGCATTGCAGTCTAACTCCATTTAACATGGACACAAACTCTTCCTTACCTTTATA